AACCTTCCAAGTGTCTGACATATGTCCAGCTAAGAGCCCCTCGATCATCACTCTTTCTATACATTCATCCTCTAACTGTCGACATATTCAATAACTACAACAAATAAAAGAAGTAGTTAGTCGACATAATTAAATTAGAGGTGGTGTAGAGAAGTTGGCGGTCTTTGAACGAGTTGAGAAACCTACATGTAAAGTTTTGACTACTAGAAAATCAAATCGTATGTTTAGAGGAGTTTCAGATGACTTTAAAACTCTAAGTGTAACGGTTTGACTACATGAAAGTCAAACAGTAGGTGTCAATGCAGTTGGCGGTCTTTGAACGAGTTGAGAAGCTTACATGTAAAGTTTTGACTACTAGAAAGTCAAACCATAGGTTTAGAAGAGTTTGAGATGACTTTAAAACTCTAAGTGTAACGGTTTGACTACTTGAAAGTCAAACCGTAGGTGTGAATGAAGTTGGCGGTCTTTGAACGAGTTGAGAAGCCTACATGTAAAATTTTGACTACTATAAAGTTTTGAGAAACCTACATTTATAAACCAAACAATTTTCAAAAGAAAAAACTTACAAATTTTAGAGTTAGAGGTTGGGATGAAATCACTTGGAGCAAGTGTGGGAGGGGGTGGTAACGATCGCCGAGGTGGTGATAGCCGGAGGTGGTGGTGGTGACAGGCAAACAGCTGCAACCGCAGGTGTTGGTGACAGCCGGAGTGGTGGTGGCGAGTCGGCGGCGGGGAATCGGCGAAGAACACTGGGGATTCGACGAAGACCGGCGGGGAATTGGATTTGGGGTGACTATTCGATCTAGGTTGAAAGAGTTGATTTGGGCTGTTTTATGTTGATAAACAGCGACGGATTTTCGAGGAAAATTTCCTTCGCTAAAAGTTTCTTAAAAATAATTTAAGTAATTTTTTAAATTGTTTTATTCTAAATATAATTAATAACTTAATTAATTATTAATTAATAAATATTTGTTATTTATTAATATATTTGTTTTTTTGTTAAATATAATTAATTAATTATTTAGTTATTAATTATTAGATAATAAAGCCCATTAAGGCCCAATAAAACCGAATAAAGTCCAATAAAATCGATTAAAGTCCATTAAGACCCAATAAAACCGAATAGAGTCCATTGAGACCCAATAAACTGAATAAAGCTCATTATGGCCAATAAAACCTAATAAATCCCATTAAGGCCCAATAAGATCGAATAAAGCCCATTAAAATCGAATAAAGCCCATTAAGACCCAATAAAATCGAATAGAGAATCGTCGCACATCTGTTCAACTTATCAAAAAAATCAATAGTATAATTTCCATTTGTGTGGCTTGGCTGGAGAGACGGGTTGTGCGGAATGATGGTTTACATGGAGGATAGGGTCTTGGTTTAGGGGGCTTTTTTGAGGTTGAAGCTCATTTTCTTTATTATTTGTAGCTTGGTTGAGTCTGTTGGGCTTTGTACCTTTTGGCTTGTTGTGGCTTGGTATGGTGTGATGACCAAGTCTTTTGTGTTTCAGGTTTGTTGGGTTTGGTCGTACGCTTAGACTCTGTATTTCTTTTTCTAGTTTTATAAATTTGCCTGGTTTCTTTAAAAAAAAAATGGAATAGAGTCCATTAAGTCCCAATAAATCGAATAAAGCTCATAGGGCCAATAAAATCGAATAAAGCCCAATAAGACCAATAAAATCGAATAAAGCCCATTAAGGCCCAATAAAATCAAATAAAACCGAATAAAGTTCATTAAAATCGAATAAATCCCATTAAGGCCCAATAAAACCGAATAAAGTCCATTAAGGCCCATTATGCCCAATAAAATCGAATAAAACCTATTAAGGCCCAATAAGATTGAATAAAGCCCATTAAGGCCCAAAAAACCAAATAAAACCGAAGAAAGTCTAATAAAATCGAATAAAGCCCATTAAGGTTTAATAAAACTGAATAGAGTCCATTAAGGCCCAATAAACCGAATAAAGCCCATTATGCCCAATAAAACTGAATAAAGTTCATTAAGGCCCACTAAAATCGAATAAAACCCATTAAGGCATGATAAACTCACTAAAGCCCAATAAAACCGAATAAAGCTCATTAGGCCCAATAAAACTGTAATTAGCAACCAACACACATCTATACACATCGTATATATATATATATATATATATATATATATATACGATATATAACAGACCAATGAGTATGTATACATATAACACATATGACATCGTGTAAACATATGTCTATAACACGGGCTGACGGGTATATATACTTATAACACATGCACATGTGTACGTATAATACACATCACGGTTAGAAACCAAAACATATATATACAAATAACACATATACATGTATATATACGACACCTACACATAAAAATGCGTACATCTAACACATAAAAAATGAAAAATAAGAAAAAATAGGATAATCGCTCGCTGATCCCTCGCTGATCAACAATGGATCTGCACTTCACTCGTTGATCCCTCGTAGATCAGCGAGGGATCTGCGAGGGAAATGGTTTCTGGCTATTTCCCTCGCGAATCCCTCGCTGATCAGCGAGGGATCGGCGAGGGATTATCTTATTTTTTTTTATTTTCTCATTTATTATGTGTTATATGTATGCATTTTTATGTGTAAGTGTCGTATGTATACATGTATTTGTGTTATTTGTATATATATGTTTTGGTTGCTAACTACGAAGTGTGTTATATGTATACATGTGCATGTGTTATAAGTATATATACCCGTCGGACCGTGTTATATGCATATGTTCACACGATGTTGTATGTGTTATATGTATATATACCCGTCGGTCCGTGTTATACACATATGTATACACGATGTGTGCTGGTTGCTAATTACGATTGGATCAATGTATATATTGTTTAAAATACATATATCGGATGATGTATATATGTTTAAACGTAAGTGTATATGTGAATGTATAGATAGTATGTGTGTGTTATATGGGGATTTATTCAATTTTATTGGGCCTTAACCCATTTAATTGGTTTTGTTCGATTTTATTGGACCTTAAACAATTTACCGGACTTTAATGAGCTTTATTCACTTTTATTGGATCTTAATCCATTTTATTGGACTTTATCGGTTTTATTAGGCTTTGTTCGATTTTATTGAGTCTTAATCCATTTTATTGCCTTTATTCGGTTTAATGGGCTTAACGGGTTTATTCAGTTTTATTGGGTCTTAATCTATTTTCTTGGACTTTATTCGGTTTTATTGGGCTTAATACGTTTTATTCGGTTTTATTAAATTAATTTTTGTAATATTCTAATAAATAATAAATAATTGATAATTCAATAATCAATAATCAATAATTAATAATTAATTAAATTTGTAATTAATAAATAAAAAAATCAACGAGGGATCAGCGAGAGATTATGTTTTTGGCCATTCCCTCGCTAATCCCTCGCTGATCTGTGAGGAATTTTTTCCCTCGCTGATGTTTGTCGCTGATACCTTGTTTTCTAGTAGTGTGATTATTGAGCTCAACCATCCACGATCTGTAGTTCGAGTCTTCCAATGTCTAAGAAATGCGTAGTTGCTAGAATCAAATCATTACGAGACATACAATCATAAAGTTTAATTACCCACGGTCTATATCTTGAGTCCTCTGGTGAATCATTACCCGTATCCAGCTATTACATGGGAACAACTATCCCATCTTACATACTAAAATCGACTTCTATGCCTATGGATCCATTACATTATAGTCTAAGCATACCATTGTTTTCAAACAATTAACCATGATCAAACACATAGTTCCTATCACATAATATCATCATTAAATCCATGATTTAACCAAAAATAGTTCAAAGACTCATAAGCTCAAAATAATAATTAAGAACCAAGTATAAGATCAATATGGTTTTATAAGTTCCAAAATCCAAAATAATTTATTCTCCCTTTGAAGAATAAAGTAATTTTTCTCGAAGATCTTAAAAACTCATAAGTTTTATAACCCATCATATCATATTTAAGATATTATCTAATGTTTACAGCAAGATCAAAGTATTAAACCTTCATTTTGTCAAACAGGGTAAAACCCCCCAAATCTCCAAAGTACCCAAAATTGGTCGAAGTCCATAAATATGTAATATACATCAACAAAGATGTTTAGGAGGCTAAAAAATGGCATTTTGACATGTATAAAAGTTTTAGAAAAGTTAGAACGAACCTACAAACTTAGGTTTGAAGAAAACCTAAAACCAAGTAAAAATCGTGAGAAAGAAGAGTAGATCTTGAATTCCTAAGTTTAATACTCAAAGCTTGATGATTAATGTTAATAAATGCTCCCAAAATGGGACCTATAACTCCCAAAAAAGGAGTAGATGAAGAGGGAGAAAGTTGAAAGCCGAAAATAAAAGAAAACCCAAAGAAAATGTTTTTTAAGTACCGATCTGGGACTTTCTCGTGACCATGCCCATGACTTAGGTCGCCGCGTGAGTCGCCCGCATTGGCCACACACACATTTCAAATATCTGACCCGCACAACATGCCCGCGGCCCACGTATCTCTCACTGCCTCCACCAAGGACGGACCCAGAAAAATTTTCTTACGATGGCACCATATAATTAATATAATATAATATACATCTAAAAATAATTACAAAAAGTATGGTTTTTATAATACCGATAAACAACTCCTAAACTTGTATCCGACGCATCTTCATCTTTTGAAAACGGTCAATATATACCCAAAAATAATTACAAAAAGTATGTTGAGAAACAACTCCTAAATTTGTCCTCGGCGTGTCTTCATCTTTTGGAAACGATCGATGACATCTTCGTTTTTAAAATTACTAAGGGCTTCCTTTTCTATGGCGCAAATGAGTGCAGAATTCAAAAAATCAGCACCAATTCGATTACATAAATCTGTCTTGACAAGCTTCATCGCCGAAAAGCATCTTTCAACTGTAGCAGTTGCAACAGGCAAAACCAGTGTTAGTTTCAATAACCGGTAGACTAAAGGATGAGAAAAATGCTTTCATGTTGCCACCATTAATCTGGCGAGGTCGGCAATACCGTTTAAGTTGGCAAATCTGACATCATTATAAACAGAATGATAGTAGATATCAAGTTCATGCTCAAGAATGATCCTTTCCTTGTCATCAAAATCTCGGGGATACATCTGACTCAACTTCAATAGGCTTGATTTGTTAAACTGAGAAAACGAATTGCATGGATTCAAAGTTGTTATATTTTGAAGCAAGTCGGTGCTTATCTCGTCAAAACGATCACCAAACTCTCGGATCTGCATATCCAAAACAATGTTGAATATATCATAGTTATAATAATGTTGATTGGTAATGCTCATCCTTTTCCTTGAATTTATTGTATTAACATAAGCTTCAGCCATATCCAACTTCACAATCTTACGTTTATCACAAAAAAAGTAGCATTTCTCCAAAACTTGATCAAACCCATTTTCCCTCAACATTTGTAATTGACATTTGGTTGTTCCTATCAAATCAATAGCTTCCAATATGTCTTCATCTTTCCTTTGAAGAGCTTGAGACAATGAATTTGTTAATTCTAAGATCGTTGATATCAAGTGCATATAAAACACAAATTCAAATGTCTTTAAATATGATAAAATACCTCTTGCTTGAAGCCGACTAGCTCCATTATCACCATCATCTTCAACATATTCAAGCACCTGTATAACCGAGCGGAGATTCGATGACTCAGTACCGAGTCTTCAAGACTCGTTCCAATCGATGAATTGAATCTCGCTATTCGCTGTCGGCTCGTTATCGCTCACACACTCGCTCACTCGCACTCGCACCAGGTCACGTCGTTGTCTCACTCGCACTCGCACCAGGCCACCAGCAGGTACGTGTTTAGGGCTTTACTTTTTACTTCTTTAGGAATTAGGCCTTAGGCTTTAATCTTGGACTGAGTTTTCTTTTATTTGAGCTGGGCTTACTAAACTTATTTTATTAGATTAATCAATTTGTTGGGCTTACTTATCTAATTTATTTGGGCTTTATTTTGTTTGGGTTTTAGATTTAGTTGCACTGTTTGAATTTCATAAAAAATACGGTAGCACCTTTCAAAACGATACGGTAGCACCGTTAACAAACCTAAAATTTTTACCCTTCAGTGGCTAAATAATACCGTGGCAAGTGCCACCCATGCCAACCAAGCAGGTCCCTGGCCTCCACGCACCCTTTCTTCAAAAAGCCATGCGACCTCGGCCATGACTTTAGTCGCGGGCCAAGTCGTGTATCTCATTGCTTCGCCCATATTTCTTCTCTTTTCAAGGTATTTGTTGCATAACTTTTCTCCACAACTTAAAACCATCAAAGACACTTTATTTGTTGGCATAAAATGTTAAACTCAAGGCAAGATCCAAAATAATAATAAAAATCATTCCAATATAGAATTCTGGGTGTTATACAATGTTTCGTAATTAACTTCATATTTTTATCAGACATATTTTTTCCTTAAGAATAGTAACTATATTAGAGTAAATATAACAACACAAATACACAATAATAACAATATAAAAATCAATATAAAAAATAAGTGAAACAATTAAAATGTAACTTAACAATAAATAAATATAACATAAAAAGTAAGAAAGAAGGCTAAAACTTGAAAAATGGTTTCAATATGAAAATTTATGATATTATCAAATAATCTCTAAACTTTTCAAACTTTGTTTTTTTGAGTTTTATCTTAAAAATATGGAGAATAAAAATGATGCATGAAATTTATGATATAATTGGACTTGGTTGAAGCTTTGAGACATAAAATAAGCCCTTAGGGCTTTTGACGAAGGTGGTATGTGTATATGAATTGTTAACTTCGTTGTCGATATTTATTTTCTAGTATATGTTTGAAGATTAAGGTTGGTGGATTTGCTACTTTTTCTTTGGTTGGATTGAATTAAACGTGAGTATCGTTAAACATGCTTTAATCCATTATTTGACCTAGCTATGTGACCTAAACTTGCGGGCATAGATTGCCAGTCATTTAGGGAAGTTGTGCTACAAATTTGATAGATTTGATCGTTTCTGGTGTTTGTGAGCCACATCATGCCTACCTTGAGTAACGAGTTATATTTTCAGATTATGGTATTTAAGTTGGTAATACTCATGATGTTCTTATCTTTTCTTCCAAGACGAACCAACTATATCATTTCTTCACCACTGAAGATGTAATATACACCATTTTAAGCAACAAATTAATAGTGGTTCAGTTCTCGGACATGCTCCACATGTGGTGTTTCCATTTCCATATTTCGACGTGACATTATAATATCACTCTCTCCCTTTATTGCTTTATTTTCATATTGTGGTTGTCATGCTTTATTGATGATTTGTTATCTTATCGTTAGCAACCATATCAATTTGTTTTCCACATTAATCTAATCCAAAAGTTATTATATATAACCTACGTACGACTTTATAAATCTTCATAAAACTAACTAATAAAACTTGTAGATTTATCTTATTTTTAGAGAATCTAAATTATTTTAAAGTTTTTTAATTACACAAAGTAGATAAAAAACAAATATTTTACTTATTTTTTTTTTAATTTAATACACATATCAATATATATTTTTTCAATTTTTGGAACCCGGTTTTCAAAAGATTAATAATGAGTATATTCGAATGCGGGTATATCCATACTACATTATAGAACATTTATAACTTATTATTGCATACACACAACTTTCATAAAGCCTCACGTTTGAACTTTATAAATTGAACTAATGATAATCAACTAATAAACGATTCAAATGCAGGATAAATATAGAACACTACTAATAAAACAAATACATACTTCATTAAACTAATTGATAACCAACCAAAAACTAGCTCTCTCTCTCTTAATTAATACCACACAAAATCGTAAAATAAAATAAAAACAGTCAGAGAATCAAATGAAATTGAGGGTTCGAGTTCTCGCCTTTTTTTTTATTAACCTGGATATCCAACCTGCTATGCGAGCCAACTAATCCTAAGGCGACCACCTGATTTGCAGATAACCCGGAGTCACCGCATTTGAACCTCCGTGGTCACAAGGGGATTTTTATTCCTCCTTGGATTTGAACCTGAGACCTCCTCGTACTTTTTACCTTTAGAGCCAAGCTCAAACCAATCAGACGCCACCCTTGTGGTTGAGTTCTCGCCTTTAGAATCGAGATACATCACTATGTATTAGGCCATTACACTTGTAGTATTAGAAATGTGTTTTGAGATGATCTTACAGATTTTAAATAAATGTTCAATGTTGGATTATTAACGGGCTAAACCGAGTTCATATCCACAACACACCAATTTCAGAGAAGTTAATCATTCGTAGCAGTAATTAATAATCTAAGGTTATGAAAGCCCATGATATTTTCGTTTCCAAGCTAGCCTACTTTCATCTCCTCATCTTCACCTCTACACGCTAACATAATACAAAATTGTCAAAAAGCTAACACAAATGACAGGAACAAGCAACATTAAACACTTCTTCACCGCTTAGATATCCAATACTGTGTTACTAATTAGTGGTAATGAGTTCACTCTCATTCGAGGATCCGTTCGTCCATTTGGCGACCTGGCCTTCCGAGGGTGAACTCAAGATTCAGCAACCTACTTGAATTTGATGACTTGTTGCTACTATTATTTTCCAACTTCCTATCCTTCTCTGACAAGTGTAAGGATGCCTCACGTTCGTTAACCTAGAGAAAAAAATGAAATGAATCGTTAAAAACAATTAATGATCGTGATGGATGTATATATGTATGTATATATAACTATATCCACACGCGCGCACACACACATATATACATGCATGTATGCATCATAACTTGAAAACAGTGCTTCGTACACATACCGTAATATCAATTGCTCCAAGTGTAGAACAATTTGGCGTATATTCTTCGGTCGAGAAACTTGAATCATATGTATCCATTGACAATGACCACAACCCTCTGTTAAAAATTGTGGATTTAGTAAAGAGATTGCAAAAGATGATCTACATATACATATGTAATACGAAAGAAAAACACCGGCATATTAATGTTGGCTGTTGTAATATCATCTCCAAAAAGAAGTCATCAAAATATTCAAATTATATTATGCTATATAATTATATAAAAATATTTCTATTTCCGTTATTAGTATTGTTATGCGATAAACGTCCATTAGGCAAATATTAGTATTGTTAATTTATGTACATAGGTAGTTTACATTAGTAACCCTAGCTACGTACAAAATACTTAGACTCGAGGCATATATTAATTGTAACACAGGTACTAGAGATAACCCAAAATAGACTCCACTTAATTACTTTTACCAAACAAATAATTCCCAAAATCACATGGTAATTTGTTTGTTCATATTTATTTATACACTTGACAGTTGACACTACAACAAAATCAAGTTTATAGGAGACTCCCAAGTTCAAAGCGTCCTAATAGACCTTTTTATAAGATTTAGTTTATAGGACCAAAAAAATAAAACGTCCTAAAAGGTGTTATAATAGGTTTATATGACATTTTTTGATGTCGTAATAAGTTTTTTAGGACACTTTTAATATAAAACTTCCAATTAACAACTTTGTATAATACTATTTGAAAAACTGTTCTATAAAAACAAATGTCCTATAAAAAATTGAGTTTATAAGACACTTTCTCAAAAGTGTCAAGTTGCTAATGCGACATTTTGTATTCAAAATGTCTTAAAAAACTTGTTAAGACGCCCAAAAGCGTCATATAAACTTATTGCAACACCTTTGGATAGATGCTTTATATTTTGGTCCTATAAGTTAAGTCCTATAAAGCGGTCTATTGGGACATTTAGAGATTGAGGGTGTCTTATAAACCCAATTTTGTTGTAGTGTGATTATTCATTAACCAATTCGTGAATGGTTTAAGTTTAGTATATGTCAGACCAGAAGCACCAATGGTGGTAAAACACTGAATGGGGTCGATCTTGGAAGAAGATATATATATATATATATCGAAGCTAAAAATGGTATTTTTTTTTCAAGACTTGTGAAACCGTCACTTGGGTTTTCCATCATTCGTGTAATAAATTATGGAATGAGGTGTTTTTGAGTTATCATTAAATAAACTTTGAAGCTCATGTCGGGCTGAGATATTTGATGGCTATGAGTTGCCGTCCAGAAATAATGAGGTCAACAAAGGCCAGCCAATGTCTTTTACATTAAATGTTGTAGCAGCTCTAATTTAAACAACTGCAAGATACATACAGAAGAGACATTAACTTATAGCTGAAATTATGTATACTAATTCTAGTTTTATATATGTATAGCATGAGCATGACTAATTAAGGGATAAATATTCCCCAAATGTCACCATACAACACTACCAATGACTCAGAAATTTGTGCCATTTCCCTTGACTTTTAGTTTTTCTCGAGATCCTTTACATTCGCAATTCAACATCCATTGGATATGCCATTCTGGTTCTTTTGTATATTAGAGTTATTTTTTTAATATCGAAAAGAGATCTAGATGTTTAAAATTTTAGTGTTTTTGATTTTTTAATAAATAAATTTATCACTTCTTTTTTAAATTTTCACTGTCAACAAAGAAAGACAATATGCTTGTTAGATCAACACAATATTCATTTACCAAGAAACATTATGCAATAATGTGTGTGTGTTTCCGCAATGCACTTATTAGATGCCTTTTTGCAAGTCAAATTGGCATCATATCCGCTATTAAGTTCAAACAAGTAATGATGATGAACAAAAAAGATAGGAGGAAAGAACAAAAGTTGCAGAGAGATAGAAGACTGCAGATATGTACTGATCTGTAGCACTCACACACACACACACACTAACCTCTGAGATGTTTGTAGTGTAGTTGGTCGTGATGGGTGGATAGAATTATGAGATTGGTTCAGACTGGAGTTGTTGGTATCATCAATTTTATCATCAAACGGTGAAATATCTCCCTCCATTTGAAGTAATGTCCTTGGAATCCTTGGATTTATCATACCCATATCCGCCAGTCCAGCTGCAAACACATTCATACAGCACCCATCAATTTTCTGTGGCTTACCAGTGAGACAGAGTAATAATTCGGATGGGAACTGTAGGTATTGGTCTTATATCGGAAATTTTCAATCCTATATATCTTAACCAGTTAAGAAAAAAATATGATGCATGGGGTCCTTATAGAAAGAAAGATCCAAATCTAGTACCTGCTCCTTTGTCAGTGCTCTTCACTGTTCTATACATCTGCATGAATATATCCCACAAAAGATGTGTTAGTAATTATAACTATGAGAAAAATATCACCCTCTTTTAGATGCCCTTTTGTCCTTGTTCCTCTTGCTTCTTTCTCCTACCATGCCTACTTTAGCATAGCAAAATTTAAGCTCAAATACGCGGACATGGGTTTGTGCTTTGCCTCTCTCTCTCTCTCTCTCTCTCTCTCTCCCTCTCTCTTTCTCCCTCTTTCTCTCTTTCTCCCTCTTTCTCATTTCTATACATTTTTTCATTAGTAAAGTCACTACCTTCTACATCACAAGAAGGTATCAGTTTCAAGATCAGAATGTACAAAAGAAAAATGTATGTAAAAAAGAGTTTCTCTAACCCTCAGAAAGACGATGACAACAATTATATGGTTCACAAGATGACTCTTTGATTGAAGGACATGATGACACCCAAAGTCTGATCTTTTACAAGAAATGAAGAGGCCTACTGTTAGACGCTAGAAAAATTAGACAAGAAGGATACCCACCTGCAGATGACTCTTCACATGAGCAAGAGTTAGGTCCTTCACATTCATCAACTCTAGCACTGATTTAGGAGTTGCTCCTGCAAAATTTTATAAAAGAAGCACCGAATTACTTATAATTAACTGTAATGAATCCACTCGGCTGAACTTGTTGGAACAAGTATAATGAAGTCAACATGAAGCAAAAGTCAGAAAGTTAAAGTAGGAGAGACAAAATAGCACAGATATGAATCTAAAAACTTACTTTCATGGCCACCAAGGAGTTGAACGGCATGAACGAAGTGAGCATGTAGAGTCGAAGTCCATCTCATACGAGGAGCCCTAACGATCCTTCTGACACGGCTACCCATCCTTGAATTCCTCTTAAACTCCTGACTGTAGATTTGAGGTTGATGATAATGTTGATTGCCATACTGATGTTGAAGAAGCATACTATTTCTTTGTAGTTGCAAAGGTAACGTGGGATGATGTAGGGGAGGAGGATTGAAAGATGCCATCTCGAGCCCCAAGCTCAGACGAGGCTGATCAAGCTGGAGTCCATTGGTAACCAAACATCCCATATCCGCTGCTACTGGTGGGTAGTACTGATGGTTGAAGACATTTAAGCCGTTTTCATGACTTAAATCGCTGCCACTGCTGTTGGAATCAGTGGTGGTGGAGCTGCAGGTTGGCCTCTTGATACAATCAGCAGCTGGAGAGCTGATCTGTAAGGATAGATCAGGCAAAGTTGTAGCTGCAATACCACTTGTCATTGGAGTAGTTCTTGAAGCGAGAAACATGGATTTAAAATGAACAGAATATTAAGATGAAAAAAAAAACGACAGATTGGATGATGTTTAAGAAAAGGCTTTTGAGTTGTGATTATATCATGAGTGCCTTATGATTAACCTTTGCATGGTCTTTGAGAGAGAGAGAGAGAGAGAGAGAGAGAGAGAGAGAGAGAGAGAGAGAGAGAGAGANGGGGGTGGGTCTAGAGCTTATCAGTAGTAAAGACTGTGTAGGCTTTATCAGTAATAGAGTAGAAGTAGGTTAGGTTTGAGGTTTGACGAAGAATCGGAGAAAGGAAGGCTTTGTGTAAGAAAAGTTTTTAACTTTAATCTATTTTATTTGAGATTTATGAAGGGGGATGAAGATTGCAGATATCGAAGGAAAAGTTAGTGAAAAGCTTGATTATATGAGCAGAGGGCCAGAGAGAGAGAGAGAGAGAGAGATCAGTATGAGGGTGATAGTTAAGCAGGAGAGTAAGTGGTGTTTCTGCAGGAAGAATGCTTGGAACTCGGGAAAACAAAAGCTTGGAATAAAACTCATAAAAATTAAAACTTTTATAAAACCATTTCATAATAATTATACCACAATAAATATATTTTATTATTGTAAACAACAAATAAGTCATAAACTTCAAGTTTTGCTTATAATTTGACCACTATAAGTAATTAATACCCCATGTATATTACAAGTTTTATGAGGAATATATATATATATATATAGAGAGAGAGAGAGAAAGAGAGTATATATATTATATATAGAAAGAGAGGCTTGAGATTATGTGAAACAAAATTGTTTTCGTAAAACACGTGAGAAAACATTTTTACACTCGAAACTTCACAGCAAAAATACTATGAAGGTATATTACAAGTTTTATGAGGAATATATAGAGAGAGAGAGAGAGTATATATATATAGAGAGAGAGAGAAAGAGAGTATATATATATATATATTATATATAGAAAGAGAGACTTGAGATTATGTGAAACAAAGTTGTTTTCGTGAAACGCATGAAACATTATTTTTACACTTGAAACTTTACAGTTAAACACCGTGAAAGTAACCTTCACAGTGTTTTTGCTGTGAACATTCGACCTTTTTTTACCTTCACAACATTTTGTTATGAAGTTTCAAGTGTAAAAACATTCTCTCACGTGTCTCAGGAAAACAGACCGGTCTCACGTGAATCGAGCCTTGTTTCGATCTCTTTGATCTATTCCACAATACCTTGGTCTAAATTAAAAAAACTTGGTTCTTAGATTAACTTATATATACAAGTTATTGTATTCTTAAGATGAAAACAAATTCTAACATGCTTATGCTTTTCTTATACAAATAGATATTATTCTTTTAAGCTCTTTTTATCCCTTCCTAATTAAAGAATATTCTTTAATGTTTTCCTTTCACTTCTTTTGGGGAGTTGATTTCCTCTGAAATCCGTATTCCAAAATAGAGATGATGAAAGAGAGCTAGGGTACGGATGCCATTTAAAGACTTGCAGGAAGCACAAAGTAAGGGAGCACCCCACCATGCCAACTTGTGATTTTAACTTCGTTTCACCCCTATGCCTCTTCTCTTTATCCTTCTGCATGCACATATATGAGCCATCTATCAACATCATGTGCTAACACTATTGTCGTTTGTCGGTAGATAGAGGTTAGATTCATGATTGTCGAAATACGAATATATTGTCATAAAACTCCATTTGAGCCACACCTATATATCTCAAGACCAAGATCCATAAATTCTTGATATCTTTAAATGGTTAGAACTTTGTTTAGTCTAATCAACATAGAAGTTCCAATATCGAATCTTACTTGCATTAATTAGTTAGTTTAGTTTACTAAGCAAGTCGTTATGAAAAACAAACACCAATAAAACGCAGAGTAGCATATACAATCGTTTCTTTAAAAACAATACTACAAAAAGCGAATCACGATCACTTATTTCCATCGTAAAACGCAAGAGAAGCAATTCATGACAGTATTTGCCATTTCTGTAGGTGAAGGTCTCATTGAAAAGGGGAAGCAGATTTGGTTTCCCAACACCAATATTCCCTCTCCGTGTCTAATTATACCCATCTTCTATTATACGTACGTACTGCGAATAAGCATAAATTAAATTAAATGCCATTGAAGCTTAAAACCTACCCCAACCCAACCAACCTGTCTAGTCCCACCCACTACTGGCTCGTCGATAACACTAAAATAATTAACCCTATTTTTCCTCACCGTATAACATGGTTAACTCACGTGACTTGTGGGCATGACTTTGTCTAGGTGATAGGTTGTTCTTTTTGTTCTCTTCTCTTGTAATCTTCTCATCATTTGCCCTCCCCATAACATATTTTATATTCTTGCCATCCTTAAGAAATTTTAAACTTCGTTTTGCAAATTCAGTTTGTTTGCATTAATTAAGAGGACGGTTTATTTTCTTATTCATATACATGGAGAGGGGGGAGTTTCAATGGAAGTGTTATTTTTCATGAATATTGACGTGTTATTCATCATTAACAGTACTTTAATGATAAATATGTTACAACATTCATGATGAATAATGTGTCCATATCTTTTATGAATATCGCGCTACGAGCGGTTATATTCACAATTCCTTTGCAAACTGCCTAATTAAATAGTATAAACCGTGCAAATGAGAGTATTTTAGTGTTTTTCATTTATTGATATCTCATTTCTTAAGTATCTCTTTCACTTGTTACTTTGAAATTGATGACCATACAAACCGTAATTAAAGTTTACATATAAAACTTTCATATTAAACCATAATCATCACTTTTTGGTTTCTTATTATGTTTCTCATACAAAAACATTTACTAAACCTCCACAATTGAAATATCTCTGAATATCGTCACTTTCTAATTTCTTATTGTGTTTCATCTTTAAAACAGTACTAAAATTTCACGTATGGAAGATCTACTAATAGTGTTACCTTATGGTTTTTCACCTATTAAATTTGGTAAAAAATTTCAAACAGCCAAATTTCATAGACAAAACAACACTATAGGCTTTAAATAAAAATCTTTGTTTTACCTATATAAACATTGATAGAAAAATCGGAACAATCAAAATTTATAGATGAAACAACACCATTAACGTTAAACAAGCATCATATAATCACGGGAGAGGCGGTTTTATGGATTTGTAGATCAAATTCAATGATCATTCAAAAGTTTGTGATACAAAATCAATACAAATCAAAACTCTATATCAAATTCAAACAAAAATCAACTACAAATCACAACCTAAATCAAATTCAAACAAAAAATCAAATATAAATCAAAACCTAAATTGAATTCAAACAAAAATCGAAACAAATCAAAACCCTAAATCGAATTCAAACAAAAACAAAATCTTTAAACAAAAAATGAAACCCTAATATCGATCTCCCTTCACGCATAACCTTCACCATACACAATTAGGAAAATTGATGGAAGGGAAAGAGGAAGAAGACGAAAATGATGGGTCTTTTCGTGTTCCTACTTCAATCTCGAACCACTTGATGAAGATGGGGCAAGAATGGTCTTTTTTGTTTTGTAAGTTGCTGATGGTTTCTAAAGCTTAGCCCTTTCAGACAAATCGTAAGTCGCTAATGTGGAAAGGAAGATGAAGAAGATGAAGAAAATTGATTCGGAGAGAAGGGGGAGAAAGAGCCGAATTTTAGGAATAAATAGGGGTGGGAATTATCTTCCCAAAATAAATCGTAAATTGTTTCAATATTGTCCTTTCTCTAATTCTTTTCCTTTTTCATTTGTAACCTTCATTCAACTCTAACTGTTGATTAAAAAAGAACGACTCATATGGGTTTATGAGGTTTGTAGTATTTTGGAGGTTTTTAAAAGAAGATATATATATATATATATATATATATATTTTAAATATATATATATATAGGGGTTGGTTCAAATACTAACCAAAACTATTGTGCAAACTATGCTAACCAACATCAACCAATCATGTTCCATTTTTTAGTTAGATTCAAATATAACTCACATATTAATTGTAAGGGTATTTAGGTAATTTATCATTCTTATGTAACTCCCAAATATTTTAATTGAGAGCTACAAATCTTAAAATATCACTAATTGATCTTCATGTAATAATGACATGAAGTTTCACATGTGTTCATCTTAGTGAATTTTACATTTATTTTTCCTATAATGATTTTGATATTGTAAATTTGAAAAAAAATCCCTTTTGTAAAGATTCCGTTATAGTCCGAGTAATTTGGATAATCATAGAGTAAAACGGATCGACGACAATGAGAATGAAAAAGCTAAAAGCGTCTACGAATACATTCGGAATTCGAATTCCGAAAGTGAAGAAAATGATCAATAAGTGTCCCAATATGAACATACGTTAGCTATGAACACGCTAATGTGAACATGCCTACATTAAAGATTTGAGTTCGGGATGACAAACAATATACATTTTTCGCTAAGTTTTGAATTTCAGTAAATCCACATCCTTGTTGCTCTTTTTAATTATCTACTTTGTGTAATAATAGTTTTAGTTTTGAAGACTAACTACATAGGGGGCTGTTCATTATGTTCATTAAATATTTGACTTCGGGATGGCAAACAATATACATTCTTCACTAAGTTTTCAATTTCAGTAAATTCACATCCTTGTTACTCTTTTTAATTATCTACTTTGTGTAATAATAGTTTTAGTTTTGTTACTGTTTTATGTCATATAGCACAAATCATATCATGCTTATATAGGGGTTGTTCATTATGTTCACTATGCTATATTACTTGATCACACACATAGCGATTACATTTTTCATACTAGGATACATTAAGACATTTGTGCACAGACACACATATATTAACAGATATCAAATCAGCACAAATAACACAGATGTAGACGTTGGGATTCGTTACTGTTTTATGTCATATTGTTGATGTTCATTAGGTTCACAAATCCAAACTTGTATGTTTTTTTGTGAAGTGTTGTGTGTGTGTGATGTTCATTAGGTTCACAAATCCAAACTTGTAT